CCCAGGTGCCCCCAGGTGTGCCCAGTTGTGCCCAGCTGTCCCCCAGGTGTGCCCAGGTGCCCCCAGGTGTGCCCAGGTGTGTGCCCAGGTGTGCCCAGGTGTGTGCCCAGGTGTGCCCAGGTGTGCCCAGGTGTGTGCCCACCGCTCCGTCCAGGTGCCGCTCGGGGATCTCGGCCTTGTTGGGGTTGTGGGCGTGGCTGACCAGGGGGGAGGGGGGAGGGGCGGCCCCGCCCCCTCGCCCCGCCCCCCCGGGGCCAGGCCCCGCCCCCCCGGAGCCGCGCCGCGCCGGGGCCACGCCCACTCCCGCCGAGGCCACGCCCACTCCCGCCGAGGCCACGCCCCCCTCGGCCGGGGGGGCGGGGCCGGGCGGGCTGCGGCGGGGCGGGGCCGCCGAGGGGGCGGGGCCACCTGCGGGGGTCACAGAGAGGTCACGGAGAGGTCACGCGGGAGGGGACACCCGTGACCCCCCCCCCAGTGTCCCCCAGTATCCCCCAGTGCCCCCCAGTGTCCCCCAGAGTCCCCCAGTGTCCCCCCGCATCCCCCCAGTGTCCCCAGTGCCACCCCAGTGTCCCTGATGTCCCCAATGCCACCCCAGTGTCCCCAGTGCCACCCCGCTGTCCCCGCTGTCCCCGGTGTCCCCAGTGTCCCCAATGTCCCCAGTGCCACCCCACTGTCCCCAGTATCCCCAGTGTCCCCAATGTCCCCAGTGCCACCCCGCTGTCCCCGCTGTCCCCGGTGTCCCCAGTGTCCCCAATGTCCCCAGTGCCATCCCAGTGTCCCCAATCCCCCCAATGTCCCCAGTGCCACCCCAATGTCCCCAATGTCCCCAATTCCCCCGCTGTCCCCAGTGTCCCCAATGTCCCCAGTTCCACCCTGCTGTCCCCAGTGCCACCCCGCTGTCCCCAGTATCCCCAGTGTCCCCAGTGTCCCCAGTGCCACCCCGCTGTCCCCAGTATCCCCAGTGTCCCCAGTGCCACCCCGCTGTCCCCAGTGTCCCCAGTGTCCCCAGTGTCCCCAGTGCCACCCCGCTGTCCCCGGTGTCACTCACAGAAGTCGCTGTGCCCCCAATGTCCCCAATGTCCCCAGTGCCACCCTGCTGTCCCCGGTGTCACTCACAGAAGTCGCTGTGCCGCCGCTGCCGGTGGTGCCCGGCCCCGCGCTGGCTCCGGCCGTGTGTCCCCGACGATGTCCCCGACGATGTCCCCGACGATGTCCCCGACTTGGTGGTGGCACCGTTGGGAGCCTCGGCCGGGCCCCGGGGCCGCGACAGGGACAGGGACGGGCCCGTGCCACCCTCGGGCTGCCATTGTCACCAGTGTCACCATTGTCACCAGTGTCACCATTGTCACCAGGGTCATTGTCACCCCCCCAGGGACAGGCCCATGCCACCCTCGGGCTGCCATTGTCACCAGTGTCACCATTGTCACCAGGGTCATTGTCACCCCCCCAGGGACAGGGATGGGCCCGTGCCACCCTCGGGCTGTCATTGTCACCAGTGTCACCATTGTCACCAGGGTCATTGTCACCCCCCCAGGGACAGGGACGGGCCCGTGCCACCCTCGGGCTGTCACCAGGGTCACCATTGGCACCAGTGTCACAGTGTCACCATGGTCACAGTGCCACCCACCCCAGGGACAGGGACGGGCCCGTGCCACCCTCGGGCTGTCACCATTGTCACCAGGGTCAC